CCATGTATGAATGTTATGCATGTTATGCTATGATGTTAATGCTTTGGACCTCCAAACTAGGTGTGTTCTATGGTGTAAAGTGCATGTGTGTGTAATGTGTCCTAGCATATCACAAGAGTAACACCTAACACCTAGAAATATATTCACTAATATATATGTGGGATAATACCTCTTCTTAAGGATATATGATGCATGTTGTGTCCTAGGTTGCAACTTTAATGAAAGTGTAGGCCCCCGTGTGTTTTATGTTGAAGTGAATTTATTTACTTTTATAAATGATCATTTGTACTTTTATAACTAGCCATTTCAATGCATGCTTACTATTATTGCAAGTGTCTCTAGTTCCTTGAATGCTTCATTTAGCTCAATATGATCATCTTTTAAGGAATTATGTGTCTTAGTTAATTCAATATGTTTTTTATTTAGATCATCAAACTCATCTAATAATGATGCATGCTCCCTATCTATTGAAACAAGCTCAATTTTTATATTAGAATGCTTTTTAACTAACATGTCATGCTCAATTTTTCAAATTAGAAAATTCCTTTTTCAAACATGTATGCTGTCTTTTTCCATATAAATCATAAATTTGCTCGAAAATTAAAAATAATTCATCATAAGTTAGCTCGCATACCTCTTATTGATCAAAGTTATCATTAGCCATTAGGAATAAATTTGTTATCTCCTCCAGTTCTTGTTCTAATGGAGTCCGAGGTTGATGAGTCTATCTTGAAAGTTTTTGCATTTTTTATTTTCCCATTTTTGCATTTGGCTTATTATCACCCTTTCCTTTGTAGGGTGACTCTTAAGATTGAGGCAATCATATCTTAATTATTCAAGCTTTCTGCACCTAAAACAAATAGTGTCAAAAGAAACTTTATTGAATTTACATGTTTTACCTTTATTTCTTTCGTGGTAGCGCTTTTACTTTTGGTTCAGGAAGCTTTTAAATTGTCAGGTCATTAGGATTAATATCCTCGCTCCCTTTAGCTTATGAACTATTGCTATTTGTGTCATCAGCCTTCAACGCCAAGGTTTTCTCCTTTTTCTTGTCAATTGCATTTAACAACATTTGGCTTACATTTTGTCTTTAAGCAATGACAAAGCCCAGTAAATTGTTAATAGAAAATGCATCCAAATCTTTAGATTTCGAAATAACGATGACTTTCACATTGAATGAATCATGTAAACAACATAGGATCTTATTGACTTTCTCATATTTGAAGAGTTCTCTTCCTAAAACATGCAATGAAATTACTATTTTGGTAAATCTAGTGTACATGTCAAATATAATTTTTCTAAGTTTCATGCAGAAGAGTTCATATTCATACAACAATAAATTTAAGTGGGATTGTTTGACTTCATTTGTACTTTCATATGTGATACAAAGTCTATCCCAAATTTCTTTACCAGTAGTACAAGTAAAAATTATCATATAATTTTCAGATTTAAGTGCACTGAAAAAATAATTTAAACATTTGATATTTAGTTATGCTAAATCTCTATCCTCCATACTCCATTCAGTAAACTAGACTTCTATTTTTACACCATTAACAATACGAGAAGGAATAGAGTAACCAACTTGTATCATATTCCTCATTCGAAAATCAATTGATTACAAAAAGGATGACATACGGATTTTTCAAAAGTCAAAAGGAATATTATCAAAAAGCGTTAAATGGGTTCTTGAATAACCCACAACGATATTCCAATTCCTAAAGTGTGTTATCGAATCTTTCTCAAGGTTTTTAAACCACTAATTCAGAGAACCCGCTCTGATACCAATTGAAAGTCAAAAGATGATTGTGAAATCACTTGAACTACTAAATGACACATCAAGAGGGGGTGAATTAGTGTTTTAATTTTTTTTTTCAAAAATCCTTTTTGAAATTAAAACAAAATTTCCAACTTAAGTTCAAAATTAGATTTTTTAATGTGAAAGCGAATTAAAAAACAACACTTATTTTTATATTTTAATTTTTGTAGGAAAACAATTAAGAAATATTGTTTATTCTTTTTTTATTTTATAATTTATTTCTTTTTCAACCAAGAAATAAATTCGATCAACCACAAATCTAGTATCACAATAATCACCAGCACAAACCAAATTGCATAATGTAAATATGCAACAAGCAATACGTAGAAAGTAAAGTGCAAAAAGTAAATGAGCAATCACAACAAAATTTTATAATAGTTCGCTCAATTTGACCTATGTTCACTCCCCGAAATCCTATTCAGGTAATGCACTAAACATTTTAGTATCTCTCCTTTAGCCCCCTCAGGAGAGCCCTCACAAAAACCACTTTCACCCAAAATCCCTTTCACTTTTCTTGGTGCGGCAGAGTAGCCAAATCCTTTTCACAAATCCGGTGTCGCAGAGTAGCTAAATCCCTTTCACCTTCCCTGGTGCGGCAGAGTTGCCTGTAGCCCTGTGACACCAAGAGATTCTTAACGAAGTTTTCTTTTGATACATGGAGGAACAAGGTGGAATTTGGTCGGAGAAACCGTGTGAAAATACTCTCTCACACTCTCTTGCACTCACACGGCTCTTCTCCCTCTCTCACAACTTTACCTCCCTCCCCCTTGCTCAAATCTCTTTAAAATCTTGTTTACAGAAGATGCATACCTTAGATAGCCAAATATCCTCTCAAACAAATTAAGAAAGTTTAAACAATAGGCTTAAAAAAACTCTAATTTTTAATTATTCAGTCTGTGTTTGTACAATACAATTTATTCAATTTTTTCATATTAGTGTTGTACGATGAATAATGCTCAGTATGATCAATTAAGAAAACTTACATTGATCATCCAGTATAAACCTTGATTGTATTGTACAATTAGTTAAATTCAAATCACAAATCGTCCAGGACAAACCCCAGGCGATTAATTATCATCCAATAGAAGTTTCTATTTGTATAGTACGAATCATGGTCGTATAGTATGATAATATGATTAATTCAATCGAATCACAGATTGTCCAGGATGAACCCTGGGCGATTAATTATAGTTCCATGCATCTGTTGCATCGTACAATACGAATTGTAAAGTAGTATAATATTATCTATAATTTCAATTAATTTTGATTCGGCTACTTAATCATAGAAATTAAATTAGACAAAATTTTAATTTCATCGTACAATATGATTTGGATCATCCAATGCGAATAGACCAATTTTTTAAATTCAAAATATTGCCTAATTTTAAATATCGTCAGGGGTTTCAGATTTTAATTGATCGTCTTGTACGATTTTTTATTACAGTACAATTAGTTCATTCTTTAATTTCAAATTTATTTCATTTAATTAAATTTTTAATTAAATTCTGATCACACAGATCGTCCAGTATGATCATCAGAAAAAATAAAATTTTTAGTTTTACTGCCCCCGTGTGTGTGTGCATGATTGCTAAGCTACACTTTTTTTACATTGATTGACTCAAGAAATAAAATTACACTATTTAAAATAAAGCAAACTTATACAACCCAATCTTGAGCTCTGATCTTCTGATAATGTTTGGTGTATATTGAACTTGAAATATTCGTACACAGAAAAATATATGTCATATAAAGAGCATGAGAAACTAAGTAGTCATCCAATAATATTTGTAATCACAAAAGACAAGTTTGGGCTCCCTCATTGCAACAACCATCTTAGGACGACTCTCTCTAATCTTAATTGTCATTGGAGCTATTTGAACTTTTTCATGTATATATTCATTTTGTATTTTGTTTCTATGTGTAAAGCTATTTGTCATTGGAGCTATTTGAACTTTTTCATGTATATATTCATTTTGTATTTTGTTTCTATGTGTAAAGCTACTCATCCACCTGAGCATCCTTATATCTGCAATACATAACTTAATTTTTTGCTTTTTTTTAATGGCCAACATTTTGCACCATAAAGCATCGTATGTCTCACCATGTTATAAAAAATTCCCTTAAATTTGAGGGCTTCTTTTTTATCACATAGCAGGCTTGATGCATTCATTCATTCAACTATCCAACTTGAATTCTATTAATAATATCCCCATCTATTTTACCATCTCTTAGAACAGTAGACCCGGGATATCTAAAAGTTGCACTTTTATTAATGGCTTGGTCAGTCACCCAATTTAACAATTTTATCACTATATTTATATGACTAATAAAATTACACTTTATGTATTCAGTTTTAGATCTGCTCAAATGAAAACCTTCAGACTCTTAAGGTTGGCATCCAAAATTCAAGTTTTTCTTCAACTCTCTCGCTGTATTATCAACAAGAAAAATATCATTAGCATAAAGCATACACGATGGTACATCCTCTTGCAGATGTATAGTAATAATATTAATGATTAAAGCAAAAAGATATGGGCTTAAAGCTGATCCTTGATGTTATCCGGTTGAAATAGGTAAATTGTTGGACTAATCAATGTGTTTGAACATAACAATCCCTATGCACGTCATTTTTTCCATTGATACAAGTTTAAAAAAAAAAATCTTTTGAGTTATTCTAGATAAAAAAAGACGCTCTGATTGTTTATATTTCCAGATTAACATGAATGAAAGAAATTTCCTGTAGTTAGCATAAACATTTCTCTTGTACAATGCATTCATTTTTTAAAGGACTGCAGGGTTTTCGATATCATAACTTTTTTTTAATCTATGCATTTGTGAGGTCTGCTGTGTTTATGATATGCTTTTTCTTGGAGTTCTATGGGAATTTTTTTTTAGGGCTATATAGTTCGTGATTTTAGCTTTGGAGTCCATTGGTATACAGTATGTTCTAAAATCTGTTGTCTGCTAGGTGAAGACACAGTTATGATTGATTTTTCTGATGAAGTTAGAATTCTACTGCGTTTTTTATTTGTTTGAGATATATGCATATAATAAATGTTATTTTCCCCAAGTAGTATGTAGTCTGATACTGTTATTTTGCTTGTCTTAACTCCTCTGTTTCTGATCTATGGTTTCGTTTCCTTCTCAAATTGCTGTGATCGTAACAAATTTTTTTTCTGTGCAGCGAGTCAACAACAGCAAGTACTCTTGTGGCTTAGGAGCATTTTTGTGTAATCAATTCTTGCGTGGATCAACCCATAAGCCATTTTCTTTTTTTTTTTCCTGCTCCCTTCATATGCTTTTGAAAATTAATGGATATGAATATTTATTAGTTGCGTCTGTTTTAGAGCATGCTATTTGCTGCAACTGTTGTCTCATTTGCAATTATGCTTTTTTTTTTTATATAGTTGATTGCTATTGCATTCTCTTCTATTATTGTTGTGTTGCTTTGGAGAATCTAGTTCATTATTTTTCAAGTTGCTAATAAACGAGGTCCCATTGTTTCTAGCTAACTACATAAGTGCAACTTGTCTAAAAATATACTATAGAGAAATATTAATTTAGCTTAAATTAGATATGTGCTTTGCGAGCAAGCTAAATGATGTGGATAAATGTTGACCGTCAGGTACTGTGGCACTGGTTTTTTTTTTTTTTTTTTTCTCTGGTAATTTGGTTCTCTTTTTTTCTTGTCAAATATGGCAGTTATGATGTTATAGTAATAGCTGCAAAGTGCAAAGATTTGTACATTTTTATTTTTATTTTTTTATTTTATTTATTTATTTATTTATTTATTTTACAAAGATTTGTACATGTTGCGCATGCAATAAGAATGGGCCAGTTGGGGTTTTTCAATGAAATGAAGAACCCTTATAGAAAATCACAACAGGATCCATAATATACATAGGAACTGATGAACACGTTATTCTGCTATTTTTGGTTGCCTGTAATGGCGAGATTTGGCTTTTATATTGTTAAGCAGAGTATTGAATTAATGCCGCCGCTGCACTAAGTTTCTATAATAGATAACCTTTTTTAACTGCTACTGATTTCAAAGATGGTATGAATATAGAGCAAAAACAATTCCTTTTCCAGATCTTATCCCTCAGTCTTAACTTAACAATCAGTGTATGGATTTAAACATAAAAAATGACGAGTCTTTAAAAATATTCCGTAGATACTTCAATGGAGAACTTCAAAATTAAGTTTACTTATATGAAGGCCTACAAAACTTTATTATAATCTCACGTGGCCACTGTTTGCATTCGAGATCAAAGCATAGAGTTTAGTTTCAAGATCGAATTAATTTTTAATTTTATTTATTTAAAATACATATTTTAATTATCCAATCTCCAAGTTGATTTTCAGCCTGGGTTTGGATTAGATCAAGCAAATCAACTAAAAAAAATATTATTGTAGGTGCTATACCAATTAAGTGTAATTTTATAAATCAAGATAAAAAGAGTGATTGTAGATGTGCCAACATTTGGATTAAATTGACATGATTAATTTCTATTAACTATGATTTTTAAATTTTGTACTAATCATGTCATACAAAGTATATCGTATTGTATAAAATATTTCTAAATTACATTTAATTAAACACATAACTATAACAAGATAACAAGTTATGATCATAATTTAAACTAATCATACCATATGATTTGGGTTGCACGAAACAATTAACCAGTAATTGAATTTGAATTTTAAATAAATATTAATTAAGAATTTTTATTGATTGGAAGGTTGAAAACCATTATTGATTGTATGGAGAATCTGGTTAACAACACTAAGAGTAATTTCTACACTTGTTAACCTTGAGAAAACAAAACTTGTGAGAGAAAGCAATCTCCTACAATGTAGTCATCTTCTTTTAGCAAATCTTCCAATCCTCATGTTTGTAGACTTGGTTTTGAGAGCTTTGTTGGCTTTTGTTGGGAGAGGACATAAATCTCAAAAGTGAACTTGCAAGAAAAGGAACTACCCAATAGGTTGTGCTAGGAGCAGCTTGTTTCACACCTTATTGCACATTAAATACATTTGCTTTTTTTTTTACTTATTGCAATCTCTTATACATATAAATTGAATATGCTTTGAAAATTTTATTGCATGTGGTAATTGATTAATGGATAGGTTTAGTTTTAGTGGGAGAAACTATTTAATAACAATACAATAGTTCGAAGAATTGTATTAAACAAGCTATCTACAACATATGATTGTAATAAAAAAAAAACAATAAAGTAAACCAAGTTTAAAATTATAGAGATTACCTCTTGAAAATTTCAAACCCACAATTTGGAAAAGCTTCTCCAAGCTTCTCACTTTCAGGGTGTCCACCTTAAGTGATTTCCTCCAATCACCTAAACATTGATTCCAAATATGATGAGGGTAGGGTGGTTGGGCTTAGATCACTGATGTGATCAATTGGTAGATGGAGAAAATATTCTAAGATATTTAGAAAAGTTAAGTTAGGTTAGGAGGAGTTAATTTGAAGGTTGTGATAAGGCTTAAGGAGTTTATGTCGTAATCCACAATTCTTGGTGTTCTA